TTTTTTGCTTCTTAAAAACAGTTAAAAAAGTAGAAACATTCTATAGCAAATACTAAACAAGTGAAATGAAAATTAAATTATAAATAATTTACATTTAAAAAAAATAACTTTTCAAAACTTTTTTTTCAAAAAAAAAAAATCTGAAATTTAAGTATATAAGATTTATGTTTACAAAGTAATAACGTGTCATATTGAACAAACTATTTTCTTTTGCTTTATTTATTGCAAAACAATTGAAGGAAAAAATTTATTGAAAATATTAACTTAAAAACCCATTGAATGAAAAAATTAATTATCAACAAAGTTTTAGTTAAATAGAATGTGAAATCTAATAAGTTTTACTCTTTTGTTTTTTCGATTCGATTTACTCGTTCGGTCTATTGAATGTGCATTTTCTTGCGAAAATAAGAAGTTATGTTTTATGACAATAATGTTTTCTTTGTCAATTTTATATCGTTTTTTATAACATTATTGTAACATTTGTTTAAATATTGTAACGTTTGCGTTTTTACTTTTTAAAGTATTATGTTATGACAATAAAATAAAATTAATTAAAAGCAATTATAAAAACTTTAAGTAATATTATTTATTAATAATGTTATTTTATGTTAATTTTAAATAATTTTTAAAAGTACTAAATACGCTTCTTGCGCATTACGCTATAGCAATTCAAGCAGTCAATGATAAGCTTAAAAGATATTATAAACACCCGCAAAAAGAGATCATTATGAGATATTAAAAACATGTAGTATTTTATTAGATAGTTACAAAATGAAGTACAAAAGATACGATTTGAATTTGCGTAACTCCGCTGACCATTCAGGAAATCGTTGGGAAAGAGGGGGAGGGGGATGTATTTTGAATAAAAATCCAAAAAAAAAATTTCGAGATTAGATTTTATTGCGTTAATTCGAGCCCTGATTAAATACTTTTCTAGTTTTATTTAAGCAATAAGAATTTTTTTTTTTAATTTTATCTTTTTTTTTATATCTATTATATACATTTTTTCCTATTAAAATGATATTTTTATTTAAACGATTGTATTTTTGACAAATTGTTAAAATGTTTTTTAATAAAGTATTGACATTTGTATTGATTTAGTTCAAATTGTTAATTTTTGATAATTTTCATAAAGATAAAATAATTATATTTTGATAACCAAAAATGATAGTAGCTCCGTATCAGTTAAAACATTTTTAAAAAGTAACAAAAAGCATGTAAAGATAATAAAAAAAAAAATTGTTAAATACTATATTACCTATGAAATATTAAATTTTGATATGGCTAAAGTGGCAAAATTTGTTTGAATTGTTTGTGTGTTGATGTTGAAAAGTGGTGTAAGTGTGGAAATTGCAAACTATATCGCATAAAAAAATGTCTTTGTTGCATTGAAATTAAGACAATAAATATCCCCTATAAGTCATTAAGCTTTGGCAATTTAAATCAAATATTGATTTAAAGGTTTGGCGAAATAGTGTCGCAAAATTTTAATTGTTGAAAATGTGAAAAAGGAATAATGTTGCATTATATTGATGAATAACAGAATAAGGAATAATGTTGTAAATAAGTTTAATGAATAGTGTCAAAAACAAAAAAAGAAATAGTGTTGCAAATAGTAAAATCGAAATAGTGTCAAAAACAAAAAAAAAGAGTCATTTCACAAATAAATTTAATGAATAGTGTTGAAAATAGAAAAAGGAATGTTGTAAAGGAGTTTAATGAATACTAACAAAAATAAAAAGATAATAACTGTAAATGTGTGTTTAGATGTCTGATATCATACTGAAATAGCCTGCTGCCGCAAAGGAGTGCCACTACATCAACTGAGGGTTTGGAGTTTGGTAGCAATCTTTTCTCTGATTATAATTTTTTTGTTTTTCCCCCGTAAAAACCGTATGTTATAAAGATAAGCAAAACGAGTAAACAATTACTAAAATTTAACTATTTGTAACACTATTCCGTTTTTACTATTTGCGACACTATTCCTTTTTTTGTTTTGTTGTCAATACTATTCATTAAATTCATTTGCAACACTATTCCTTTTTAATATATTCAACACTATTTTAATGTTCAATTTTCAACACTATTCCTGTCACTCAATTTAAATTGTCAAAGCTTTACATTTGCTTTTAAAGAATGTAATACATTTAGTTTTTTTAACATATGTTAAAAAAGTTTACAAAATGAAAATGTATTTTTGCACAATCAAATAATATAAACCAATTTTTTTTTTATTAGAATCTTGATTAAGGTTTATATTTCATCATAAATATCATCATTTAATAACCTTTAAATATCAGTGATTGCAGCGATGGGGAGCTGGTGGCCTTAAGTTTCCTATTGTTTTCTGAAGATCTATATTTTAAGTTATATAAATTTGAAGATTAAGAATAAATTTAATTGAAAAAATGAATTAAAGGGCATTTAAAAAAACTAAGAATTTTCATAATTCTGATAAATCTAGAAATTTTTAAAGATTTTTGATTTACTTAATGTTTACAAATTAAACCTGCTTGAAATAAATGATCAAATTATCATTATTTATATACATTCAATAAATGCACATTAATTAAAATACCAACTCCCAAAACATGTTGTGTCCATATTAAATAAAATGTTTATAAAAAAAACACATTTGAGCTAAAAAATTTTAATTGAAAATTAATAATAAATTTTATTACTTAGTTTCAACTGAAAAAAGTTAGCTCAAATGTTTTTTTTTTTTTTAATTTTATTTAATGTGAACGCAACATGTTTTAGTCAACATGTTGGTAGTTAATGTGCCAAGTAAATAATAAAGTAATATTAAAATAGATATTTATTTTTAATTTGAATTTAAATTTCATTAATTTTTTCAGTTAATTTTTAATTTATTTAGTTCTTAGTAGATTTAGTTTAGTTTTAAAAAGATTCTAAACATTTTAAAGTAATAGGAATGCTCCAACTTATGTCTCTATTCTTTAAAAACATTATCCATAGGTAAATAAATTTTTTAATTGATTAAATATCAACAAAATAATTAGATAATAATTTATCGTTTATAATTGGAACTCTCTAAATTTATCTTTATGATAAAATTGCATATGAACTCTTAAATTTAGGCAAGTGCTAATTTTTTTTTTCCCCTTAAATATAATCCTTAATATTTAATCATGCAGATTTCTGGTAAAAACAATATTTCATAAAAGGACATATCAGTTAAATCTTTTTTAATTAGGAGTAAAAGAATGATGAGCACAATGATTGCAATGGATTTGATGTTTTGTGATAATGATTAGTTAAAAAAATTTACTTTAGTTCAAATTCATTGAACTTTTGTTCAATTATTGCAAGCTTCATGCAATTACAGAAAAGATATTATTCAAGATTAACCTACTTTTCTTGTCATTTTATTAATTCACATGCTTTTGCAGTGATTGTTTCAATGTGTTAAAAAAAGACTTGAATCATCTTGTTACTTTTTTTTTAATCTAGATAAACACTTTGGAATTCTCACCATTATCGTGTTTTCCTGATTCATATACTTTACAGTCTGTTAACTACTATCTTGGTCTTTAACTATTTTCCTTCCTTGCATAGTAACTCCCCGCCTAAATTATGATTTCCTGCAAGTAAGAATAAATTTATATTAAAAAATTTGTATAAGTAACTACTTAAGGGCTTCAAAGCACCAGTAGTGTTTTCTTTTTTTCTATATAAAATTATTTTTTAATATTTAACTTTTTAAATAAATTTTTCATAATATGCTATATTTAAAAAAGAAACTTTGAAATATTGAAAATTTAGTATGTTTCTAGAAAAATATTCATAAATTAGTCATAAAACAGTCTAAATTGAAACATAAATAATTTCATAAATGGCTTTAAATTAAAAAATAATAGTTGATAAAAGCGACATTGCATTATGGATAATTATGTTATAGTTTTTCTACTATTTAGGTTTGTATTTATAAAAAATTATACTTATTCCACTGTAAGTTTGTATGTACACACTATAAAAAAAGCTAGAAATAACTGTAGAGGTATATTACACAGGGTTCCCACACCTCCTTAAATATCCTTAAAAAATAAAAACCTCCTTAAATGTCCTTAAATAACCTTAAAAAAAGTTAAAATTTGACTGCTTTCCTTAATTTCTTCTTTTTTTTTTTTTTTTTTATTCATCTAGAAAAATTTTTTAAAGTAAATCGATTACACTTGTTAATAAAGAAGATAATGTATAGATTTTTGATAATATATAGATTTTTTTTTTTAGAAGAAGAAGATAATATATAGATTTTTTTTTTAGAAGAAGAAGATAATATATAGATTTTTTTTTTATTATAGATATATTAATATATATATATATATATATATATATATATATATATATATATATATATATATATATATATATATATATATATATATATATATATATATATATATATATATATATATATATATATATATATATATATAAAGTAATAACAATTTCTCTTTTTGTATTTAAAATTTATTGAAAAAAATAAGATTATGTTTTTAATGTAGTTGTTTTCTCCTTAACTATCCTTACTTTTTCTTTCAAAAAAATGTTGTTCGCAACCAAATCTCCTTAAATATTAGGAAAATATCTCCTTAAATCTCCTTAAAATCCTTAATTTTAGCCTTAGTTTTAGTAGTGGGAACCCTGTCACATAACCTTCCTACCTTTACAGGTATTTCACATATCCTACCCCTTAGAAAAGATAGAAAATTATACCTAATTAAGGTAGAATACTATACCATTCAGGTAGCAAATTACTCCACATATGACCATTTTTTGTATATTTTTTAACCTAAAAGATATAATTTTCTACCTTAAAAGGGTAGGATATGTGATATACCCTAAGGGTAGAAATTTATACCTTTTTTTTAGTGTGTATAAATAGTTATAGTTTTTCTACTGCTGTTTTAATTTTTTAGTTTTGATTTTGCATTGACATGCAGTTGATAAGAGAAAACAAATTATTTTCTTTATAGTATTTAGGATGTTTAGAGGTATCAGAGTCTCGAGGAACACAGGTTTGTTCACAAGCAGCTCATCAAATGAAAATGGTAAGTTTTTCTCATATTTGAAAATAATTCAAATATTGTTTGAAATATTTCTTAAGAAAATTATTTTAATTGTTCATGGTAATATTTTTGACAAAATTGAGTTATGCTATAATTAAGATTTTATTAAATATCTTAAAGAATTCTAGTTCCTAATTTACTCAAACATAATTTTAAATACTAGTAAGTTACTAATTTTATAGTTTTTGTCGCATGACTCTTATACATTTTTTATTTTGTCTTTTTTATTCACTTTAAATTTGTGTATATTAATGTTAACTTTTTTTGTTTTTATTTTTTAGAGTTCTACTGGAAAAAGAAAACAAAGAGTTACACTTTGGGTAACTGAAGATACATTGCGTGTTACTGATGATGAAACTAAGGTTTATTTTGTATATTATTTAGTATATTAAATTTTACAGTAACTTTTTAAAACCTTTTTAAATTTTTTTTAAATCTTATAACCATATTTTTATTAGGTCTAATAAGCAAATATTTACAATGAAATTAAATTTTTTATTTATTTTTAAGACTGCTCTATTTTTATATAATCTTTTTGTATTTTGTCTTGATTCATTTTTTCTTTTCATTATTTTTTTTATCTGAATACATGTTAAAATTTAAAGTTACTTGTTTTAATGATCCTTTTTGAAGGTTAATCAAGTTATTTGTTTTAATGAGCCTTTTTGAAGGTTAGTCAAGTTATTTGTTTAATGAGCCTTTTTGAAGGTTAATCAAGTTATTTGTTTTAATGAGCCTTTTTGAAGGTTAATCAAGTTATTTGTTTTAATGAGCCTTTTTGAAGGTTAATCAAGTTATTTGTTTTAATGAGCCTTTTTGAAGGTTAAACAAGTTATTTGTTTTAATGAGCCTTTTTAAAGGTTAATAAAACTATTTTTTAAATGCTCAATTGAATTTTGTTCATTTTTAAAAAATATTTTATAAATAAGAATATTGTATTAATAACTGCAGAATATAGTTGCATGCATCCATAGCATATTATATTTAATATGGCATATTATCTTATTTTTTGGAGCAAAAGTTGGAGGGTAACTTTATATAACGAAAGTTTATTAATTATGGTCAAACTATACTACGTAACAGATCTCCATAGTTTACTTTAATAGATTTGGATAAATTAAATAATAAAAGTAATTAAAAGTATCATTAACACAAAATATTGTTTATTAATGACTTGGTTTAAAAAAAGGCATTGTAGGTAATTATGATATGCAAATTCCTTTTCAAGAGCTGTGGTAAGTTGCTTTATTAGGTTGATATGCAGCAGTGGCATAATAGTTTTACCCGAAGAACATTGCAGTAGCTATCTTGAACCAGGAGTTGATATTTTGTTTTGTTGTTATTTTAGATTTATTTTTTGTCTTTATCTTTAGCGGGCGATTTGGGTTTCGTAGAATATAATTTTGGATTTTTTAAATTGGTAAATTGTCTGCGTATTCTAAATTATTACTTTTACTAGATCGTTTAAGCTCAAAGTGTAACAGAGGATGGTGCAAATTAACAATATCTTTCTCTTTTAAGATATTATACATTTGAATCAGATCAACCATTCTACCATGAAAAATTGGCAATTCTTTTGTTTCTTTAATTTTTTAAAAAAGTATCTTTAATTTTTTTTCATACGATTTCTCCCTTAAAGATTTGATTTTTCTAGCCTTGTGTTGCACAAACTCAGGATTATCAATGTCCTTCTTTCAAAATAGACTCCAAACTGTTGATGGCATATTCCAAATGGGGACATACTAACAATTTGTTTGGTAATTTTATTGAAAATTCATTTTGTTTGATTTGCCTATAGCTAAATTAATATGATATTTCTACTCTAGATTATTTAAAATGAAAATCCCAAGTTCTTTTTTTATTGCTATTTCTGTTATAAAAGAGGTGTTCAATTTATATTCATATCTTGGATTCTTTTAACCAATATACATTACTTTACATTTTAATTCATTAAATTTAATTAACCAATCTTCAGACTTCATCATCCTGAGAATGATTGATTGAAATAATTTAGGTATCGTCTGATATCTTTTAAAATCATTTTCTTGTTATACAATATTTATGTTTAATGAGTTTGATTAATAAGGCTTATATATAAACTTTTTGTTTTAAATGTATTTTGATAATAATATATATTTACAATATTTTGCTGACCTATAGTGGTCAGCATTGTCAGGTGGAGTAAAAAATGTTGCAAAAATTATTACAAAACTACAAAAGTCAAACTGTCAAAAAAGAAGACATTACAGGCGTAAAATAAAATAAGTTTTAATCAAATAATATAATTTCAAATTCTTTTGCTTTTATTCATTATATTTTCACCTTTGAATTTTCTATTCTTTTTTTAGGAAGATTTTTTGTTTGTATTTTGTATCTTCTAGTTTTTTGTATTTTTCTTTGTTTTTTTTTGTTGTTTTTTTTTAAATAAAATATATATATATATATCAGGCCTTGCGATAAAGCGTCAGGCGATGTGAATTTTACGTTGTCCAAGAGCAATTTTGCGTGTAGCTAGGGCTATTTGCGTCGAGCAAAAAATTTTTTCTTTGAGTATATTTAAAGATATTTTTAAGCGGAATTTTAATGAAGTAATTTACGATTATTTTAACATTTAATAAAGTATTTTAAAAACTGCACGCAGTTGAAATAAAAGTTTGAATTAAAAAAAATTAAATATGCTCATTATTTACAAGTAGAAAAAATTCAGATTAAAAAAAAGTTTAAATCTTTTAAGCTAACATTTTAATAAAATTATTCAGCAATAGCAAAGTTGTCGATAAAATTGAAAAAAAATACTTTCTTTTAGTTTTAGATTTTAAACTTAAATAATTATTTTACGGGGGTTTGTTAGGTTTTAAAATTATTCCATAGATTTAAAAATATTTATTAACTTTTAGACGTATTCAAAGTATTTAAGAGTAATTTCGAGGAAACATTTTAAAAATTGGTGAGCGCAAATAAAAAAATAAAAAAGGATCAATATATAAACGTATTCTACTTGATTCAATAAAAAAGTACAGTTATTAAAATTTTTGTCAAAAGTAACTCAAAAAAATTACTTAAATAATAACGATCGCTTTTATGTTAAAAGTTACCGAAACTCAACGAAGCGTGCTCAAGAACAGCTGCTGAAAAATAAAACATCAATACTTTTTCGAATGATTTTTAAGAATAATTTTTTTCGCTGAAATATTTCTTTTATACCTATAAGATTTTTATTTTAACATTTTGTTTTATTTTACTAGAAATAAAATTCTTTATTAACATTAAAAATCTATTGAAAACGTTCGTTTAAGTTTTTTATTAATACAAGTGATTGTGCTTATCAACCACTTTATGAAAATAAATAAAAATAAATAAATATTATATAAAATCTCTGGTAAAAATATTAGCTATTGCACAGTTTTTAATCGTACAATATTAAAATTTCCAGTTTATTACTCGCTGACTTTTTAAAAAGAAAAAATAATTATTTGAAAAACTTTAAATTACATATTTAAGAAAAAAAAAATCAAATATTAGCATATTTTATAATCTTTTTTAAATTTAAGTTATAAAGTTTTTTATTCGTTTAGTATAGACAAAACGTGACAAACGTCGAGAAAATAAACAAAACATTCGAAAACATTTTTAAATAATAACATTTCTACATAAACGATTTGAAGAAGTTTTGCGGTAATAAAGTAAATTGGTGCAGTTAATGTCGATAAATCACGTCATGCTTATGCGTCGCACAGTTCTTATTCATCGCAAGGCCTGATATATATATATATATATATATATATATATTTAAGATTCGAAATATAAAATAAAAAATCTTCAAAAAAGAATATATATATATACATTCAGCGAAATTTGAAGGATTTCAGGTCAGTACAAGCGTGCCGACCATAGCCAACGTCAGGTCAACAACAACAAAAAAAAAAGAAGGATTTTTTGCTTTTTGTTACGATAGGGGTAATGATTTATTGATTATAAAAGGATTGCTTTTACTAGCATAGCTTCAGACAATAATATTTTAAAGAATGTAAAAAGAATGCAATTAAATTTTATGTAGTAAATTAAGTATATAGCAAATTTATGAGTAAGTGATTTTTTAGTTTTTAAGTTGTTTTTTATTACAAAAAAAAATGGTCATATTTATTTATTAGGTTTTGATTGGTTTTTTAGATTGCTCATAGAAAGATTGTCGTTTAGAAATACAAATTTAGTTTATGTGCTGTAGGCGAAGATTTTGTTTAAAACAGCAAATCAAGCCTTCCCAGGAAAGGTGTGCGGTTTTTCGTCTCGTACAACCACGAAAATGTTTTCAAGTTAGAACGTGATCACGTTTTATTATATGTGATGCTGAAAAATTGTCTTAAATTTATAACCACATAAGAAATTAAACTTAAATAGAAAACAATAATAATAGTTTAAATAATTTGTGTGATGTTTTTATTTTTGTTTTTTCTTAGTGGTTATTATTATCGGCAACAAAATTCAAAGTAAAAAAAAAACAAAACAACGGGTTTATGCGCTAAAAAGGATGACTTTCCCATATTTTATGTGTTTTTTCTTTTAAAGATGAAAAAGAAAATATGTATCGTCATCTGTTTGTAAAATATATTTGTATAATTATAATGTAACATGTTTATATCAAAAGTTAAATTATACGATCGTGATTTGCAAACTCTGGTAAAATATTAGGTCTTTAAAATTTTAGTTCATGCTAAGCTGTGTACTTTGTTTACAAGGAGCAAATTATTAAAAGTTTGCTAGCGACAAAGTTACAAAAAACAAAACAAAAACAATTAACTTATGACTACAAAAATAATAACACTTTAGTCACTAACTGCATTATAAATAATAATAATGTTTTTATAAAGTTGTTTGTCGCGTTTTTATAAGTTATTTAAGTTTTAAATATTATTTGAATATCCACTTTATTCTTCTAGATATTTTTCTACTTTAATTTAAATTTGATATTACTTATGTTGCTTGAACAAAGAAGGAATTTTAAAAGTTCTAAGTGAGTTATAAAGGTAATAACACTATTATAGTGTTATTACTTTTGTAATGCAGTTAGTGACAAGAGTGTTATTACTTTTGTAATTGTATGTTTATTTTATTTGTTTTTTTGCTACAAATTTAAGTTGATTTGCCCCTTAAAATTAAGGAACGCGGTTTTGTATAAACTAAAATTTCGAATACTAGATATTTTTCCTGATTTTGCGTTTCGCATTCGCTTAATTCAACCCTTGTTATTACATTATTATTGCTGTTACATTAAAATTATACTAATATATTTTACAAACACATTGCAATTTATATTTTTGCTATCCTCTTAAAAAAAAAAGTTAAGAAAAGGAAAATCATTCTT